TCCAGTATCAGCAGTTCTTACTATCTCTGTTATCTGTCAGGTGATATGATTCATCAGACAGCTGAGGAGCTCAATTTTTGGCTGCTCAGTTTTCTTCTGCAGTCAGGCCATGTAGTAGGATTTACAAGCCCAGTGGTGGCTACCTTCTTCTTTCACTGCCACCCACCGTTCCAACCCACAGTGAAGTTGCTGAACATTGCAGGGCTTAGTACCTTGATAGATCAAGAGGTACTAGGCTGAGCAGTCAGCAGCTTTCTCCACCCAGTCAGTGGTGTCAATGTTTTTGTGCTTTAGGGCAACTTTAAACATATCCTTATACCTTTTCAGTTGGCTGCCATTTTAGCATTGGTCAATACAGAGCAGGGAGAAGAGAATTTGCTGAGGGGGACAGTTTTCAGATATCCACTGGAGTTAGTCTTTCAGGAGCAAGACCTTGATGATGGTAAACACAGTTTCATAAAGATGTTCCTGTTGGTCTGGCGGTCCTTCCATTGATTCCAAAAATTCAACTTAGGAACCACCGGTGGATGTTCTCAGGGATCTTAATATGATGTCAGAAGACAGTCCAGGTTTCCCTCCTCAAGAGAGGATGGTAGTCAACACAACAGTCTTCTAAACTAGGATCTTTGTTGAGTTCCAACAGCAATAATGACAAAGGCAGAGTTAGATAATAGAATCCCTACAATGTAGAGAGGCCATTCTGCTCATCAATTCTCCACCAACCCTCTGAAGACTATCCCACCACCCTATCTATGTAACCCTGCATTTATCATAGCTAACTCACCTGGCCTGCACATCCCTAGACACTATGGGCAATTTAGCGTGGCCAATTCACCCAACCTGCACATCTTTTAACTGTGCAAGGGAACTGGAGTACCCAGAGAAAACCCACACAGAACATGGACAGAATATCCACACAGTCAGTTACCCAAGGCTAAATTCAAACCTGGGTTCCTGGCACAGTGAGGCAACAGTGCTAACCACTGAGCCATTGTGCTGCCTTTGTTTTGAAAGAGCAATTGGGTTTTTGAAATAAATAAACCATCAGTCAGCCAAACAATCAAAAAAAAAGGTCAGTAAAGCTGGTCAGGCTTTTCAAGTCTCTGTTTTGTAGTCTTTTTTAAAAAGGTCAATACACTCAATGAAAACAATGTGACTTGTCTTGTAATCTTAGATGCCATAAGCCAGAAGAGGTGCTGCAAAAAGTCAAGTCAAGCTAAGAACTTTGTCCTTGAAGGGAGGTTTGCCTCTAGCAAATGACTTGCTATTCAGGAAGAGAAAACAAAATCGCTGGAGAAACCCAGCAGGTTTGGCAGCATCTGTAGAGAGAAAGAAGAGTTAACATTTCAAGTTTGGTGATCCTTCTTCATCAATTTCTGTTTGTCTTCTCGGAGAGCATGTAATTTTGTGGCAGTTAAACCTCCTTCAGTTGAAGAAAGGTCACTGGGCTCAAAATGTTAACTCTGTTTTCTCTCCATGGATGCTGCCAGACCTGTTGAGTTTCTCCAGCAGTTTCTGTCTTTGTTTCAGATTTCTAGCATCGCAGTTCACTGTTTTATTTAGTGTTCTGCTAGAAACCTGTTTTGGTTGTTTTTATTTCTATATCTGCACTGATAGTGTTCAGCTTAGTTCTGTTATTCCAATCAATCTTTGACCCAAATCTACTGTTGGAATCTTGAAATAGAAAATAAAACTTTTGTTTTTGCTTGCAAATTTTCTCTAACTTTGATAACAAATGACATAATTATGGATTTCATCTGGAATTTGTATTCAAGCCTTCATGCATGGCCTTATTCTCCTCTTGGGGTGGAGGTTTA